AATTCCTCTGCTTTTCTGAAAGTGATAATTTTACCATTTAATACTCCATTTAATTCCCCGATTGAGTTGCTAATATCCCAACAAATTAGGTGTAGACAATCACAGAACAACTCCAACACTACAAAGTTAGATGCAAAGGCCGACAAATAAGAGCCATTGTATATTTTCTTCTCAATTTACTATAAAATATGCACAAAATAAATAATTCAAAAATTATGCATAAAATAAATATCATCTCTATTAATTAAATTAATTAATACTAATTTTATGAAAATTGTATGAATAATTTTATGAAATTTAAAATAAATTAAAAAAAAATCTCTAAAATTTTTATGTTTTTCAAAATTGTATAAAAGCATAAAATAAATTCCCATAGATTCAAATTTATATAATAAACTATTTTCTTCGTACAAATGAAATGATCATGCAGAAAAAAATTGACATATTCTCTGTAAGACGAAAAACATAAAAATGATTCATGATTTGTATAGCTTATATTTAATGATGGGAAACTTCAATCATTTCAAAATAAAAGAATTTGAGTGTAAAATGTATAAGTTTCCTAATAAAACTTCAAAGTTCAAACATTTCAAAAATAAATTAGAAAGTAAAATGATTTTTTTTTGGCCATATATATCCACTTTCTACGACACAGCCAATAGTATATATATATATATATATACATATATATATATATATATATACATATATATATATATATATATATATATAATAATAATAATAATAATAATAATAATAATAATAATAATAATAATAATAATAATAATAATAATAATAGCATGTCATAAAAATAATTGATTGATTTCATAAACAATAATATTTATTACAACTTTATATGCATTCGAGTCGAAGAGACCTCACTTACTAATTAGTAAACTTTCATACCTTACTTCTAACAAATATACTCAAATTTTTATAATTTGTGTTCATAATCTAATTTCAAAACAAATATGCTCAAGATTTTATTATATGTATCAAGATATTCATTTTAAATAAATTTATAAATACATTAAGAAATATAATCTCAGTAATAGTTCTTCTTCTACATTGGTGGTTTGTTGGTTCAATTAGCAACGAAGATATAATTAGCAAATATAACATAAGTAATACATATGCAAATTAAAAGTCGTAATAGCAAAATGAAACAAAATAAGGGAAGACAAAAATAATCATCATGCTTTGTAGAAGCATAATGAAGTTATGTATATATTATTAGCATTTGTCACAAACAGTAATGAGAAAAAATATCACAATGATTCCTATGTAAAGTTTTCTGCAAAATATATTCAAAAAAGCATAAATAATTAGCAAATTTAAGTATGTAAAACAAATAATGAGCACATATCCTTTCTATCCAGTTTAATTGAGAGTTAAGAGTTAATATAGCAACACTCTACTTAGTTTATGATAAAGAACTGATAACTTATGCTTTTACCTTCGCGGAATCACATCTCCCATCTTTTCCATGAGTCATCCGTTGCTGCCCTTTTAAAATATAAGATAAAATAGGATAATTTTTTTATTAGAGAATGCAAATGATATTATCATTAATTAGGAATAAGCGCAACATAAAATTGAATTGATACAACATAAAAACAAATAGGAAACAGTACACAAAGTGAATGCAAAAATCATAAAATATATAAATTATTAGCCAAATAATGACAATAATGAAGGACGAGCAAAAAAGAAAAGATAAAACTAAACAAAAAACATTGACGTGAATATATAAAAGAAAAAAAAAACCCAACAAAATTCGATGTATGTGTAAAATGATGAATGGAGTGAATGGATTATATATAGATGGGTATAATGTGGTTTAAAAAGTGAAAATCATATAAATTAGGAAAATTTTTATTCAAATTATGGAATATGATTTAAGAAAATTAGATATACACAATCGAATAATCTACATATAGAAAAATATTGGATCATTTATGTTGACCGATTTCTAAAAAATACTTTAATAAATAAGTATACACGAAAAGTGTGAAAAAAGACATAATTATGTATGTATATTGATATGTATAGATTTGTTTACTATAATAGATAGGCATAATTAGAATAAATGGTATTTTATCTATAAAAGCAAAATATATAGATGATTGCTTAACATGTGCATTAATGATTTATTACCTTTATAATTTCCTATGATTGAGTATCACAATCTATATAGATTGATACTAAATTGAGAAAATATATTTCATTCCATTAATTGAAATATTACTATTACATTTATATGATAATGCAATAATCAAATAAATTATTTTAAAATTTTAAAACAATATATTAATAGAATAATGCACAATAGGACGTTGTAGACTCGTATATATATATGAAAAGATTAAATTTTATTATATTTCATTTGATTAATTAATCTAGTACTAATTGAATTAATATAACAAATAATAATGCATTAATAAAATACTTTAATGTATATTTACAAAACAATATGAATATAAATTTATAAAAGATTTTGTATATTATTATAAAAGAGATACTAAATTCGATAATATATATATTTATAAAATAAAATAAAATAGAAAATCGAATATTCATACTAAAATCAAAAAATATATTTCAGAAAATAAAAACTGTAAAAAAAAATTTTCGAATTTATAGAATCTTAAAATGCATGAAATATTATATATATATATATATATATATATATATATATATACACACGTGGTAATTATTAAATGATTGTGTAAATGTAAAATAGGAAAAAACTTAAAAATATCCATAAATAAAAATGCCACCTAATCAATTGAAGAATCCACCTAATCAATTGAATTCCAACTAAGCAATTTTGACAAATGACATCATTATTTGCCACATGTCAATCATTGAGGGCATAGATTCTCTTTTTATATTATATATAGATAGAACTCGAAATAAAATAAAATAAAAAGAAAAAAAATAAAAAAATGAAGGTTAAGTGGAGAATAACTTATGAAGTAAAATTTCAAAGATGGAATAGTAAACAAAATCAATTATCTACATAAAATCTGCACTTTAAACACAAAACAAAGCCTGCCAACATTTTTCTTTCGCTTCCACTTTCAAATCGAATAAGAACCCTTCTCGCTGGCTTTTTTATTCCTTTTTTTTTCATCCTTAGTTAAAAATATATATATTTTATATTTTAAAGAATAAATTTTCACTGATCCTCATTGGTTACATTCCAATTTAAATAAACAAATAAAAAAATCAATCTTGACTTTGGAGCATATGTTTGTGCATAATTTTCATAAATTGCATGTGCTTTTTGGACTCCAGCTTCTCTTATATTCAAATGTAGGCATCTTTGGACCCCATTATTACTTTACATTGTTTTGCATGTAATGCAAGACATCGATATATTAATGAATTAATGATGGTCTATTGAAAGTGTTGTATAATTACAAATCTTCAATCAATAACTAATGTTTTATATATAATACGATATACTTAATTTGGATTAATGAATTTTACATTTATGAGTATATGTGCCAACAATGTATTTGGTTGCTCAAAATTAATTTCATTTCAAAATATGACTATTAAGAGTACGGTTTAAACCGCTTTTGATCCGAACCAATGTTATTAGGGTCAAACCCATACCAAACACATTCAGGTTATGGAGTTGTAGTATTTTCAGGGCTCGTCTGGTTCCTATGATAAGATTTAGCCAATATAAAATTAAATTTATGAAAGATCAAATAAATTGTGGGACCGGAGGATGGCCAAATTAGCCAAGATAATATATATTAAAGCCATTGTTTTTAACAATTCCAATCCAAAAAACATAATTATGCTAAACAAAGTCCAATTATTTAATTAGTCGTGGTTAATTTTACGAACCAAACAAAACCCAATCAGTATAATCTCTCATGCGGGTGCTGAAAAAGGTGAGCAGCCACTTTATGGCAAACATAAATAATATTCCCCAATGCCAAATTTAAGCCATCGCTTTGAGAAATTGTGAATAGAGAAGAAGAAATGAGAATGAGAAGATCATCTTCAACTGCAGCATCATCATCATCACTTTCTCACATACAATTTCCAACCTCAGCTGCTCAGCCTTCTACTAATGGTAATGGAGGAGAAAATGAAATCACACACTACACACACTCAAATCACCCACTCACACAATTAAATCTCTCTCAACTCTTCACTTGCGATGGTTGTAAAGAGTACGGTGCCGGAACCAGATTCTCTTGCCAACACTGCGACTTTCAGCTCCACGACTTCTGTGCTGCCGCCCCTCCCCTCTTAAACAACCATCCTCTTCACGGTCAACATCAACTCGTTTTCCACTCCAAACCCAAATCAGGTATTAAAAAAATATATTTTTGTGTGTGCATGGATGATAAAGATCTAATCTTTACCGTCAATTACTCACACCAGCATGGATTTATGTGTTTTTGTGTAATATTGTGTGTGCATAAATGATAAAGATTTGCTCCAAGTATTTCACTAAACGGGCGTTTCTTAATGAGCAAAAGGTGGAATGTCGTGGCCAACATGTGACGTTTGTGGCAAATCAACAAAAGGGTTTACCTTCCGATGCAGAGCGTGCAACTTCCAGATGCACCCTTGTTGTGCAATGCTGTCAACCGAGGTCAACTTTCCGATCCATCCCCACCCGTTGAGAGTGCTGCCGCCATTGAACGGGGCGGCCATGGATTGTGGTGAGTGCAAGAAGAGACGATCCAAGGGTAGAATATACCGTTGCACGGTGTGCAGCGATTACCATCTTCACGCACTCTGTGCTAAGCCCTTTGTTAACGGCCTCCAAGCTAACGGGATACCCACACCTGGGAAGCCGACTAGTGCACTTGGGACCGCAGCCCGATTAGCATCTCAAGTGGTGATTGAGTTCATCGGAGGGCTCATTGAGGGTATCGGAGAAGGCATGGGAGAAGCTCTCGTCCAGAACATGGTTAGAGGTAGGTGCATCAGCAGACGCACACGAGTGCGCGAATAATCTTGAGCACAATTTTCTTTTCTTTTTTCCTAAAATAATTCATTCACATTTGAGATATAAATATTAAATAATGAAATTTCACTAACAGCATTAACTTTTAGATGAGGTGGTCGTCCAACAATTCCCATATAAACAATGTGTGTGTGTTTGTGTGTGTGTGTGTGTGTGTGTGTGAGAGAGAGAGAGAGAGGGAGGGGGGTTCTTTTGGATTAGGAAAAAAAAAAAAGAATAATAATATATCACAACTCAAATTATAAAGTAAGAAACAGTGTAAGTCTGAAATGATATACAAGATGAACTTATGGAACAACTTAATTAATAATATCAAAGATCCATCGCCAAGAGAAAGACCTTCCATCCAACAAAACGAGAGCCGCACACGAGGATATTTCACTTCGCATTAGCGAAAAACAAAGTGTGCATCAAACGAAGCCAATCAACCAAAAGCCACGAAATACTAAATAAGATACTCGACCGATAAAAACGAGAAAAATCAAAATTAACAACCCTAAATTCCTCTTATTGCAGTACACTATGTTCACGAGAAACGAAAAAAAAAAAAACATTTATCTTCTACTATCTAATACTGTACTATTGCACACCTATTTCTTTACAGTAATTAATAAACTTACAGTGAGTAACTCCTTAGGTCCAGTTACCACGACGAGATTTTACAACGGCTGCAATAATTAGCTTAATAAGTTAAAACCACAAACTCCAGTTACCCTTGGAAACTGCTAATCGAAACTTTGCTGACTATTGCGAATTTGCCAAAATAGCCTCGTGAGTATTAAATTAAATTAAATTGCACCGTAGCCCAAATTCTCCCATGCAAACGGAGAAACACAGCCAACATAAGGATGCCCTCTTAGGAACACACAGACACAAACACACACGGCAGCTACAACGAGCATTGAATGGATATATGGACGCTGAAGCAATCCTTTAGAACCCGAAAACTTCTTTTTGCTGTTGTGTACGCGTACTGCAAGGGCACATTTGGAACAAGATTTCTGCGTTTGATTGAATGTGGAGATTGCTTTGTCTCTCTTGTCCACTTCTGATTGAGACTGAACGATCTCGTTTTCGATTGATAGAGAGACTTGACCGTTTTCTTTATCTGCAATTTTACGGGCAACAAGGGCATTATAGGAATGATTATTCGTCATCAGTGCATATGCGTATGGAGAAAGCCCGTTTGCATCGAGGGCGGTATTCCAACTCTGCAATCCGATCTGCGTAAAATAAATCAAGATCTTGAGTGAAGAGATATATTAAAAAATGTAACTGCAGCAAGCAAGCCAATTTGCAAATCCCATCATAAAACAAATCAGACCGAACCGACGTTGAAATTCTCTTTTAGGCTCTGTTTTGGTTCATTGATTTTGAAACGAGGAAAATGAAAATAAAAAATTTGAAAATCTCTTAGTATGTTTGGTTCCTGAGGAAAATGGTGATGAAAAAAACTGTACCTTCTGTGGATCACTCGTGAGAGCATCAACCATATCATCTGAAGACGGTGTACATGCAGCCAAATGTAGAGGCGTGATACCACCAGGTCCAGCCATATCGGGTGTAAAAAAGAACTTTCCAGAAGCTTCCGAAGAGTCAATAACAGAATAACGAACAAGCAAATCAACCATGCTCAAACACCTCCTTTTGACTGCTCTGTTCAATAAGTGAATTTCTGATAGCAACTCCAAAGACTCCTTTTCCAATAACCCTTTCCTACCCAAGTTCAGTTCTAGCAGAATGTCCAATAGGGTTTTCACCAAAGCACAAAAATCGTGCTCAACGGAAAATATAAGAAGAAATTTGAACCGATTTATTCTATAATCAGGTATTCCAAATAAGAAAGAGTTCTGTTTTCTTTGGAAAAGCCATCCAAGTTCGTCCAGGAATCCAAGGGCTTTTTCCCTGTAAATACCATCAGATACTCCAGCAGTTCCATTTATCTCAGGCTCAAGAAGTCTCAATTCTTGGCAGATGGTATTATTCGCTATAATTACTGGAAATGAGGTACCTTTAAAATTATTTTCAACCTGTAAACAAAGAAATATATATTTCCTTGATTAAAAAAAAAAAAATCAATATTGTTTTCGAAAATTGATAGTATGATGAAGTACTACCTCAATGAAGCAGCGTCCAAGTGTGCCATTGACCTTGAAGCAAGCCAAGGTAACCTCATCAAATGGAGTGTCTTGTGATAATGGGACTTCATTAATATTATATCCAGTTGCATGAGTGCAATGAATCCTGCATAATAAATAAAATAAAACATTTTTCATGAAAAAACGAACAAGGGTTTTTTTAACTATTTTATAATATCAATTAATTACATACATAGTGCCTGGAGCAGTCAAACTTCTACCCCTCAATAGAAGAGATGTCTCTTGTCCACCAACAACAGCCAAAGGTGAGACTGCGATCAGTTCTGGTGTATTCCAAGTTCTCCAAGATTTGCAGAGACGAATCTTTCCTGAAGATGAATTACACAAAATCAGGATAAGAAAAAGTAAAAATCGGGTATACAATAAAGAAAGTATTTATAACCATAATAACAGCAATCGTTACCCTCTTTGTGGGACACCCTTTGACGGTCCGTGTGAACTAAGAATCTTCCGTTTCCCCAAAAGTCAATGTCGACATCTTTGACCAACGACTTCACGTAATTAAGAAGATTTTCGTCGATCTGCGAAGACAGCAAAAAAAGGCACACAAGATGGTCAATAAAAATATGCACATTAGCAAACACATATATAATTCACAGGAGAGCACTCACTTGATCCCACGTAAAAGATGGCATCGATAAATACAGAGATAGAACTATGCAACCAGGTCTGATGTAGCTTTCCATTTCAGATGGACTGTTAGAAAGCCAGCTGTATATCTGGAAATAGATACAACAGCAACAGGTCTCGGATATTAGCCAAGCAAAAGTAGAAAAAACTAATGTTCAATCAGACAGAATAGCCGAACAATTTTATTAAGAATAGAGAGACATAATAGAGACAGATACATTATTGAATGAACCCGCAGAAAGACTTATTCCCTTAGACAAGAAAGAAATCACTAACATAGATAGAAAAGAATTACGTAATAGAATAGATTCATATTCTCACATAAATTCATAATTATATTATAACAAAGATAAAGTCAAAAAAGCATAAACACTAACCTGAGTCTGTAGCGATCCAGGCAAATGGCTGGGATCCTTGTCAAACAATTTGAAAATAATTCTACCCGTACGATCCTATGAGGAAAATCATGTCAAAACAAGAATTACAAAGAAAAAAAAAACTCAAATAAAACAGGAAAATGATGAATATAATACCTGTGCGTCAGAATTGAGGCTCGATGGTGAATGATCAGACCCAGAAGAAGCATACCCAGCTCGATAAGGAGAACTCTGAATCGAACCATTTTCAGTAGCTAACTTTGAGCTTCCAAAAAGCTGAAGAGAAGTACTGCACCCATTACTCATCGTTGCTTTCACATACGCAATTTCACCTACATTGTTCGATAAACAATCATCCTTCATCGTCCTCATCGGAAATAAATCGTACACAACAGGTGGCGAAGAGAGAGGTGTTCTGTCTACAGAAGGATTACTGCTACCAGACGAAAGAAAATTCCCATCAGAAGGCAGTTTCATCGACCTATAATCTTCGGGCGAGGGACTGAACAGCTCTAGAGGCACACACGGGGAGGTCTCTTGTACTTCTTCCATGGGAGAATGGTAGCTTGTGCTACTTCTCTCTCCTCCAACAGTGGGGAATACGATGATAGTATCTCTATTGTTGTCAACACATGGTGACTTACTTTTTTCGGAGTCGCTTCCTTGAGAGCTTGTGTGAGCTGAAAGAGCAACGAGCAAGTTCTTGGTTGATGTTGAAGAATTGTTTTTTCCATTTATTTGGTTTTGATTTTCGGAGGGTACATTATTGAGAACAGTGCCATTCGGTTTCGATGGCATGTTTGTTTGAGCTGGCAATGAATGTATTTTGCTGAGAATTTGTATGAGCTGATCTTTGTCGGGTATTGCTGGGATTTTACCGCTCCTCTCCTCGGTGTTCCCTATGATAAACCGAAAAATAGCATTTAGCAGAATTATTGGATGTTTAAAATTGTTAAAAATATATATATATATTAATTTTACAAACTCCTAACTTCTAAAAAGTTAAGATTAGCAAAGATATTTGGTTTGAACAATTTCCATTTGTAATTGTTTAGGGTTGAAACATTTGTTAGCTGATTTGATACCTTGTGCGCGACTTAGCACAGCCAATAAGTTAACGATGTCACTATCATTGACAGTGTTGTCACGGGCACAAGGAACTAATGACTGTGGAGCATTGACAGTATCTTCTGGCTGCGTTTTCCTTCTCCTTCTGTTATGCCCAGCGAGTCTGCGCCTACAACTTCTTTTTCCCTCGTCAAATTCTGAAAGTGGATGGAATCTGGCAAGATTGAATACGCACATTAGAAAATTATACACACACACACACACACACACACACACACACACACACACACACACACACACCAATGTCTCATATGGTTCTAAATTTCTTACTTCTTGAAGACACAAGTAGGGATTTAATTAGTATGTGAGAATTGTTAACAAGCACTAAGCAGTTGTGAGAATTGTTAACAAGTACTAAGCAATTGTGAGAATTGTATAACTTCCTCAAAATAAATGCTTTTATGACTTGTACTACAAGTAACACATCATGTTGCACACGAAAATTCACTCGAATACAAAGAGTGTAAATATTGGTTAAAAATCTGTTTATGGTGCAAGTTCTCGGATGTAAATTTCTGGATTGCAACTTCGACTCGAAACCAAAGCAATAGAGTCTGAGAGAAAGGACAAAAGTGTATACTTCATTTAATGCGATTTAAATATCCGAAGAACTCCAAAGAATTAAAAATATGTTTCAAACAGTTTACAAAGCAAGCAAATGTGTGAAACTTTGAATACACGAACCTGCTGCACTGCTGGCAAAACCTCTGCATCTGTTTCCCCACTAATGCATTACCAGCTTTGCTGTGAAACTCACACACCTTGTGCCGCCTATGATAGTCCTTTGCGGCAGACAAATCTTTAACACAATTATCGACTTGGCAAACTGGATAATTAGCGCCACCTGGCGATCCAGATCTCACTCTCTTGCTAGGCCTCAATTGCATCTCCACTGTATTGTTATTATTATTATTAGTATTATTAGTATTATTATTATTCACACCACCTCCATTTTCACCTCCAAGCTTCAATCGAAGATTTTCATCATCTCCTCCAGTTCGATCGGGCTTTCTAGGAATCGGAGCACCGTTTAGTACCTCTTTCCTAGCTGGCAAGCTTGTCTGAATCTGAATTTGTGGGGCCCCTCCTCCCACATCGAATCCATTATCACATTGCACTGGCTTAGCTACAAATCTTGCACTGTCCCAATTCCATGATTTGGGGTTCCAGTTATCAGAAGGAGACTTGTTATGAACAGAATTCGAAGAGTGGAAAGGCGGGCCCCGTTTCTTGGATGTTGGATTATACGAATCATGAAATCTTCCGACCATTGATTGGTGGATGACTGTAGGAGAAACCACTTGCGCGGTGCCCAAGTCTTCCATTTCTCCCAAGATAACAACGTTCTTTGTATGAATCGAAACAATCGAAAGAAAAACACCTGCACACAGGAAACTGAGGAATATTTGGAATCAGAAGACTTTTCAGAACAAAATAATCAAAGCAAAAAATACTAATTATTGTCTTCTCAATAGTCCTAGATTTGTAATATACATCCAATAAGTAAAAGATTAGTAGTTGTAAACATCACCCAAAAAACAATATATGTATATATATATATATATATATATATATATATATATATATATATATATATATATATATATATATATATATATATATATATATAAAACAAACCCTAAAGAAACATAAAATTAAATCCATCTCAGACTGTGTTTGTGTTTCAACAGGTTCAGCTAATTATCTTTTTAAGGAGAAACCCTTTGTTGGGTTTAACTACCACCACACGAATCAACAGATCAACAAACAATGAATTTCAACAACAAAAAAAAACTAAATTAAATAAAAACAAAAACAAAAACGAAATCGAAATCAAAAGCGAAAGAAGGTACCTTTCTACGGGTAGAGAGATTTCATCTCCAACAAAGGTCAACGTTGATTCATATCATGTTCAATCAACAAACGTTTGAACTCATAAAACAGCAACCCCCACTTTTTCTTCTTCTGATTAACAACTAACTAAGTAAAACTAGGGCAGATTCATTCTCTCAACGGAAGAAGAAGAAGAAGAAGACGACTCGGTTGACTGATTCCTGAAATCGGAGGAGGAGAAATGAAATTGAATAGATTAGAGTACGGAGAGATCTGCACGAAAACAGGAGAAATGAGATGAAAGGACCCAAAAGCACTCTCTCTCTCCTCCTCTCTCTCTCTCTCTCTAGATATATATATAAATATATAAATCAGCAGTACACAGCACAGCTATATTTTACTTTAATTTTTTCCAGTGTAGTCCTTTGTTTACTTTGTTTCACATAATTCACATTTTCTTTCCTTCTTTACTTTTTTATTTTATTTATCTGTTATTATTGCCTCCACAGTCAATGGTAGCTTTCTTAGTGGCAACAAATTAAAGTACACACAGTAAAATGTAAATTGAAGAAGAGGTAAATAAATGTAAATAGTGGCCGCCGGTGTGGACCACCACCACCACCCTTCCCTTTTCTTTTCTCATCTTCTGTCACTTATTATTATTTAATGTTTTATTTATGATTCGTCTGCCTAATTATCCTATTTGTACGCGCGAGCCAATTTTTTTTCTTTTTTAATTATAAATAAATAAATAGTTACTAATAAAAATTGTTATGAATAAAGAAAATATATTCAAGACTTGACGATTTAATTTTATTTTAATAGATATAAAATTAGAATTTTTTTTAATAATTATAATTATTGAACAAAATATAATTATTTTTTTATACATTTAAACTATAACTAAAATTATTAATTATTTAAAGTCAAAAAAATGGTAAAATTCATTTCATAAACAATTGCGCTGTGTCCTATAATTATATTAAATTTATGTATCTATAATTTTCCAAAAATCGTTACTTAAATTTGCATTAAATATCGTTATAAATTTCTTATCTTCCTTTTGGGGGAATTATTATCATTTTTATTATTTATTTGTAAATAATACATAATGTTGAGATAAAATAATTGAAGAAATATCTTTTGCTTTTCATAAATATTCCACCTTCAAAATATCTGCAAATGAAACCATATATACTGATACTACCAACAAACATAGAGCCCAAACTAATCAACTTTGTACTGTTCAAATTGCAATCAAATAACAAATACTGCTTATATGATTAGTTGACTTAAAAAATATAATAATTATTCATCATTAACTATAGTACCAATAATATTTACACATCTAATCACTAGAAACAAACCTTATTAGGAATCAAAGTGTTTTTCTAAAACAAATCCACCAGATCCAAGAGTCTACTCATGCAAAGCCAAATCGACGAAAAAGGGGACGAAAATCACCATTTATTAATATTTAAATTAGGAAATTCACCTCCGTTTACCAGCCATAACACAAGTAGAATAACAACGATCACGATAACCGCCCACGTCAATTGCAGCATTTTTTTCTTGTTTCTGTTGCCAAATGTTGGGGGTACAGACTCTGCTTTGCTCGGATTTATCAGCAACGAAGATTTCTGAGGCTTTTCCGGTGCCACTGAAGAGTTGTCCTCGACTTGTATTTCGTCGCTAATTATTACCAATGAGCTGTCGGATGTTCCGACATCATTCATATCTATTGGAGCAGCAGAAGCAGCAGCCTTTTTCCTTTCCCTATTTCGTTCCTTCTTTCTCAACCTCTTCTCCCTCACCTGCATTATTTATATTCTTGAAGTAACATAATGTTTTATGTAATGCGAAAAAAATTAAAAAATAAAAACTGTACCTTGTTCGCCTTGGCTAGCTCATCCAACCGATATTGCTCTTTCAACTCAGCATAATTTTTTTCGCTCTCTGATATCCTATTTTCAATAGTTGTTTCTTGCTTAGCTGTCACATCAACATGATCGGGTAGGACAGGTGGCACTTCGTCAGGGCCTAATGAACGTCCATCTAAAGTCTCCAATCTAGTAATAGTACTCCTTCCATTGAATCTGACGTACTCTCTACGAAATTCGTCATCTTTGTTCCATAGTTTCATAAAACTTTCGACCTAAACATACAATCGAGACAAATTAATTAATTTAAAGAGTTCGTTCAACTTAAACATCAAAAATCTCACAAAGATATATCAAACATACAACTTACATTATCCATGCACACGCGGGAAAGCCCCTTTGTATTCCGGGCGGATGCATACTTACGGGCAAAAGCTTTATCCTCTATGCAGTCGAAGCAGTGTTTGCTCTGCGATTTCAGTCATTCAATTAAACTATAGTCACAATTCCGTAACACAATTTTTTTGCGATTCCACAATTTTAATAATTTGCATCGTCATTCTAGAGCATCAAGCAAATTCAACTCATTTATAGGATTAATAACTGCATTACTATTGCATCTAGTACACTGAATAAATATATCTATATATCGCCTTTCTCACAGTAAAATAAATTAGCTAGTGTGTATTTAGAGATTACCTTCTCATAAAGTTTTTCTGACAAACTCTGCCACTTAGCATATGCCACTTGGTGAACATCATTAGCAGCTCTGTACAGAGCTTGGAGTTGATTTATTTGTTTTATTGCATCATCGTATCTCTTGCTGTTTTCCTTATGAACCCGACTGTTGACCTGCGAATAAAATAATACAATAACATTTGTGTTTTTTCCCCCACACTATAATATTTTCTTTTTTTTAAAAGACAAAGTAACATATAGATAGACGCCTTACCGTTTTCTCTTGGACTTGTAACAGAATAGCATGCAAGTCGTTTGCCTTTTCATCGCGTTGTAGCTTAGCAAGTCTGACTTGTTCTTCAAGACTTCCATCATAACGAATTGGGACGCTAACCAAAAAGTTGAACAGCTTTGTGGCAGCCTCAACGTTCATGCTGTCATCTCCGTTGACCACAATCCGATCAGCTGTTATTTTCCCTTTACAAACTTCAATTGATGGTTTCGATGGACCCTCTGCAACATGTTTCACTTTCGTGGGCAATGGATTACGTGGGACTACTGGTGTAGGTGGACCCTTGGCAACGCTCACATTTACAGCTCCCAGTTTCTCAGTTCTAGCATCTAAGTGATTAGGGAGTGCAGGTTTCACGTTCATCGGCATTGGCTTACGTGGGAATAACGGTGTAGATGGACCCTCTGCAACTCTCACATTTACAGCTCCATTTACAGTTCCTAATTTCTCATCTAAATAATTTCGGAGTGCAGGTTTCACTTTCACGGGCAATGGCTTAGGTGGGATCTTTACAACTGCCACCCAACTTTTAGTTTTATAAGAACTACTCTCTATCTTTATCCTATCTCCCTTTACCAAGGGAGGAAACTCGTCAATCTCCTCCACTTTGCCTGCACAATTGGAATCAACCCCAATTCCAGTCCCATCTTCGGAATCAACCCCAGTTCCAATTCCAATCCCATCTTCCGATTGAACACCAGTTACAATCTCATCTTCCGATTCAACCCCAGTTCCAGTCCCATCTTCGGAATCAACCACAGTTCCAGTCCCATCTTCCGATTCAACCCCAATTCCAATCCCATCTTCCGATTCAACCCCAGTTCGAATCCCATCTTCCGATTCAACCCCAGTTCGAATCCCATCTTCCGATTGAACACCAGTTCCAATCTCATCTTCCGATTCAACCCCAGTTCTAGTCCCATCTTCGGAATCAACTCCAATTCCAGTCACATCTTCCGATTCAACCCCAATTCCAATCCCATCTTCTGATTCAACCCCAATTCCAATCCCATCTTCTGATTCAACCCCTGTTCCAGTCCCATCTTCGGAATCAACTCCAATTCCAGTCCCATCTTCGGAATCAACCCCAATTCTTATCCCATCTTCAACTACACAGGAACTAGTGGAATCATTGGAATCATCACCAATTTCAATCCCATGTACAACAACAGAAGAACCGTTAAAATCACTGGAATCCTCACCAGTTTCACACTCGGCTACAACTGCGCACAAATCATTAAGACCATTTAAATAATCGTAACAGCTAATCCCGTTGCAATCAGCCTCCGTAAGATTGTCGGAATCATTGTGATGGTTAACCCCATTGGAATCAGGCTTGCTTGAATCCTGTTTAGAAGTGAAGCCCATCAACTCACATAACTCCTCAACACCCATCTTTTTTTTCTTCTTCTTCTGCCAAATTCATTCACAATTGCAGATCAAAATCATTTAACAAGACAATTTATTGCTGGACATACAGAAAATTAGCAACACTGAAATAAACATATAATAACCTTCAAACTTGTAATCAATAAGAACACTGGAATTATATATATTTTTTTTAAATTGAGGATGATTCCGAAAACTGAAAACAATGAACTGATCAGCTAATATATAATACTTGGAGAAATATTCACGTATGAGTGATTAGTGCCCTAATATTTTCAGTTTGATGCATGCAAAGGATCTGAAACTAGTGTGAACAAATTTGAATATTCGCAAAAACAAACCTCAATTACGAAATTTACAAACAAAAATTCCCGTTCGTGTTCAAAGAGAGAATTGTAAACGGCGAAGCGACGATGAGAGTTGGAATATTTATATTATAAAAGGATTGGGGTTTATCTATTAAGTATTTCAAACATACTTGAATTCTACAATTACAATAACACCACTAACATTAAACCCTCACAAGCCCATTGATTAAATTGATTTAAAAAAAAAAAAAACTTGTATTTTTCTGTCATCTTATATATAAAAGAAAATCATAGGAAACCCTAAAAACCGTAATGGTATTTCTGTAATTATTTATTTTTAATATTCTTTTTCTACTAATTTCTTTCTAACTATAATTTTTAACAGTTATCAAAATTAAATCTAACCCGTGAAGAATTCTACCTTACTGCTACTTATGTAATTATTTATTTTTAATATTTTTTATGTACTAAATTTTTAACTATAATTTTCAACAATTATTAATCTCCTATTTTTCATCAATATAACTCAAATCTTAAGAGATAATAAAGCTAGAAATTCGATTTGTTAAATCTTAGTCTATTCTATTTATTTGGATTATATAGCTTAATATGAAAGATTTAAAAAAACTAATGTTATATAAAATATGAATAATACTACATTATTAAATTTAACTATATTTTCTTATTATGTATTAAATTGATTATTATTTTTTCACTATTTAAATAATATCCGTGCATCGCACGAGTAAATGCTAGTTATTAAACAAAAAAGTATTATGTTATTTTTAGAGTTTATTTCATTTAGTATCTATGTAATTCAATTTGTCTATAGTAAATATTTATTTATTTTTAAATAAAATAACATTGAACATTTTTTTACATATGATTCGTATTATTGAATATAAAATATAACAATTTAGAAATTGTAATATTTATTTCATGCACTAGAAAAATGAATATTCATATACTAACCAATCCTAAAGTGTAGGAAGTATTTAAAAAAAATAAACTAATTTGCCTAAAAATGAGCAAATTTGGCCTTTGGTTTTGGATGTTAGTTTTGGATACATGTTGACTACTAATTAAGGTTATTTCAATTTGTTTTAGACTAGTCTTTGGGGTAAATTACGGCAACCCTTGACATAAGGTTAAATTACGAAAACCCTTCATATTTGGGTAATTACAGTTATTCATCAATTATGAATCTTCTCGGTATCTAGAAGAATCTATTGTATTTGACACCGTTAAGGAGTACGTGACCAAAAAACATTGATATATGATTATATTAAGAAGACAACTCATATTATAACAATGAAATACAAAGCCAATGAAAATAGAGTATATTCAAACACCATTGTTGAAAGTTTTTTACTCCTCAAACCATATCCATCAATGCAAAAAACAAAAAGAGTTCTATATCAATCATGTATATGAACTAAAGCCATTAAAGAACTCTATACTAATCTAAAACATTGACCAAATAATCTTAGTAAGGAACCAAAGTAGTATACCACCCTATATTATCTATATATCCGTCTCTAGAACAAAACCCGCCGAATTAATCCGAGTCTAACATGCAAAAAAGGGCAAAATCAGATAACAGGGCTTCGTCGCTTGTAATGTATGCTTGAAAAAACACCGATATTTCCCAGCCAGAACAGAAGTAGAATAACCAGGCTTGTGACACCCACCCACATCCACTGCTGCAATCTTTTCTTGTTTCTGTTGCGTAGAGCTGGCGGCACAACTGATTTTGCCTTGCTCTGCTTTGCGAATAACCACGATTTCTGCGCCTTTTTAGGTACTGCTGAAGAAGAAGTAGTTGTAGTAGTAGTGTCCTTCGCTTCGGTGTCGATGCTAATTACCGAAGCGGTTTCAGAGCTTGGAGCTGTGTCTATGTCGTTGACGTCTGAAGCAGCCTTCTTTCTTTCCTTCTTTCTCTGCCTCTTCTCCCTCTCCTGCATTGTTTCGATTCTTAATTTAATGTAACCATTTACGCAATTAAAGAAAATAAAGGAAAAAAATTAAAACATTGTAGTTTCACCTTTTCTTTCAGTTCTGCTTCCTTCTGTGTCTTGAGTTCTGCTCTCATCTGTAACTTTTCCGCTTGTCGTTTCTTCCTCTCACGTGCCTCGTTAGCCTTGGCTAGTGCCTCCAACCTTCGTTCTTCTTTCAACTTAGCTTCAACCTCCTCCTTTCTCCTTTCCTCTACTTTCCTTATCGACTCAATCTCCTCCTTCGATTTCTTTGGCTCCTCTTGCACCTCATCAGGAATCTCCTTAACAGAAACGGTGTCCAAGCCATTCGAGTGTATATGTATAGCAAGTCCCTTATTCGTCACTTCTTGATTCTTAAGTTCCGTCATTTTCTTCACAGTTTTAACCTCTGAGGTCACATTTTCGACCATTGGTTCTTGCTTTAGCTCTAGAGTTGGAGTTTGTGATGTAAGAACATCAACCTTGACTGGAGTCGGGACCATCTTAACTCTGTCATTAACATAACTCGGTAGTATAGGAGGCTCCTCATCGGGGCCAAGTGCGCGCCCGTCTAAAGTACCGAATCTCCTTACGTAACTCCTTGCATTGAATTTAACGTAATCTGTGCGAAACTCCTCGCTTGTGTTCCACAGTTCCATGAAATTTTCCACCTATGGAAGTGAGATAAATTCGTTAAGCTAAAGAGGTTTGACTTAACCATCAAAAACCAGAAAGACCAAATATAAAACTTACATTATTAAAGCACAGACGGTAAAGAGCCTCCCTATCCCTGGTAAATGCATAATTATTTGCAAGAGCTGCACTGTCCTTGTACTTGAAAAAGTGTTTGGTCTGCCATATCAGTCATTCAAATTAAGCTAGTCACTTTATCACAGTTCACAAATCAAGAGAAATGTTTTTATGCTATCAAGGGCATGTGATAATTGGTACGGTAACATCACGAAGAAAATAAATATTAACAAAAAAAAAAACACCCGAGAATGATGATAATTACATAGGCTCTTAGCACGGATTATAAGAGATTTACCATTTCTCAATTTTCAAGGACTACAAATGAACACCATTAAGAAGTTTAAACCATAGGGCAAAATGAGCTAGTAAAACTGAAACTGTAGTATTTCGAGGTTATAGACAAAATCAAGCTTTGAATTAACATAAGCTTGATTAAAGTCAACTAAATGGATATTCATTTGTGAGACCTAAACCCATCAAATATGCAGATATTTCTCGATCTCCATAAACCAGGCTACAGATTGATCCCGTATTTTACATTTTTTCACATGCTAAAAATTAAATAAGAGATTCAAATGTGCTTCTGGTTTTATTTCTCTTCTACACGCCTACTTGAACTTTTACTGCTCCTTCGTTTCATCTTTAGGGCCATTAAGTTGTATAGTTCTATCATCTGTCTATTTCCCAGAGTTCACTTTAACAATTATATGCTATTCCAATTTTTTAAAGGTAAATATGACGGACCAATTTTTTCGCTTTTCTCCCAACCAGACCGAATTTTTCAAACATAATTTCTCTTTACATGAGCTGGTCTTTCATAATTTTAATAACTTTGCAAAAAAAAAAAAAACCAAAAAAGAAATTTCAGCTCATCTGTAAGTATATTAACTGGATTACTATTGCATCTAGTATATTGGAATTCATATGATCAATGCACACGAGCCTTTCTCGTAATAAAATAAGTAAGCAAGGGTACATTGAAAAATACATTACCTTCTCCGAAAGTTCTTTTCTCAAATCTTGCCACTGAGCGTATGCTTCTTGGCGCACATCATTTGCAGCTCTAAACTGAGTCTGAAGTTCCCTAACCTTTTTATTTTCATCGTCATATTTCTTTTCCGCTTCCGTAGCAACCGCCTCAGATTTTAAGACTCTTCCTTTAAGCACATCAAGCTCCTTCCTTAGAATCTGCACATGCCAAGCCCACGTTAACAACTCGAACAAATTATGTGTTTCACTGTGAGCAGCTTTTTCACCATATTATATTTTCATTCTAATATAACTTTACATAAACCTTAACAGTTTCATAAGTAATGAGGTTTGCACACCTTTAAACGCTCTTCAACCTCCTCTCTCTGTTCAAGTGCCTGGTTGATTTCATCTTGGCTACCAATATTAGAAGACAATTGTTCGCGAATTTGCTTCAGTTGCTTGATTTCACGAATGAGCTGCTTTTCTTCTTTCAAGGGAAGAGTCTCATGCTGAATCATACGTTCCATATTGTACATCTGCGAGAGGGACGATTTAATCATTTAAGAGAACAAATATTTTGTACTGCAAGAGAAAATAGAAAACCACATGCTCAGACATGCATGTCAAGTGTATATACACAGAGAGGGCAGGGGAATGCTTACCTGGCTATCAATATCCTCAATAGATAACGCATTCTTGGCTTTGTTAATGACAGCCTGAAGAGAATCTATTTCCACGCGTTTTGATCTCACCAACTTCCGTGCACTTCTAGCTTCACCCTTGGCATATTCATAATCGATCCCATGAATCTGAGTGTTGGCCTGCAAAGTGGTAAAGACCAATGAAGTTTCTGCTTTATCCTTCAAATCAAACAAAGAATAGTTAAATAGTTCAGTTTCTTACTCTTTTTTCCTGTATTTGGACTTGTACAGCTTCCCTCAGTTTTGTCTTTTCATCAACATGTAGCTTTGCAAGCCTGATTTGTTCTCGAAGGCTTTCATCATCAAATCTTGGTACCCTGACCAAAAAGTTGAATGGCTTCGGCTTCGTCTTAATAATTGCTGCTTCTCCGTCGATCGAGGAACCACCTATTGAAGCGACGGATATGTTGTTGCTGGAAGAATTTTCACTTTCCTCATTTTCTTGCAAGGACAAGTTATCATTACTATTTCCTACAGCACCATCCAATTGATCTACCATGTCTTCAACGTCTCTTTTGTCTGACACAATGTTAGCTGCACCTTCCTCAACATCAAATTTATCTGAAACCTCTGTTCTGCATGCGAGAGTCACACTACCATTCGTTTCTACGCTGCTTATGGTAGAAACGTTATGAACATGATCTCCAGGTTTCGATTTCACATCTAAAGTTTCAGGTGGGCTGCACGATTTCACATCAAAATTTTCAGGTGGGCTGCAGGATTTCACATCAAAAGTTTCAGGTGGGCTATCTGCAGCTTTGGCTTTCTCACTTGAAACTCTAGTTTCAGCATGGGGTTCACCCAATTGAGAAGTTGGTTCTTTCTCTGCAAGAACAGCTGTGTCAAGTGTAGAGTCAGATCCTAAGCTTGCCTCTTTGGAGTAACTCCTCATCGAACTGTCATGAACAGGAAGTGCTTCTTCAACTTCTTCTGATTTTGGACCATCAGCAAGTGAAGAAGAAACCGCTCCAATAGTTTCAGCATCAGAGATTACATTTTCAATCTCAGGTTCATAATCATTCGAAGTTGGAAAGCTTTGAGTCGGCGCAAAAGCCTCAGTCTTGGTTTCAGATAGACTAGTTGCACCAGACACCTCACTGCCGTCAAGGTGTATCTCAGGTTCTTCATGATACTGAACACCATTATCAACATTAACATGACATACAGAGAAATCTTCCTTACCTTTTTCTTCTAAAACAAGGTCTCCAACAGTTTCCACATGACCATCAGTATTAATCGGGCTAGTTTTTGCTTCGTCCGTCGGTTCCAGTATACCAGGAACATTGTTGTCAAGTGTATCACACTGTTGACTTTGAAGTACAGATGAACTCAAAGTTGTCGTCGCCTCCTCCTCAACTTTCTCTTCCTTGTTATTAATTGGATGCGGCTCCAATTCCAAATCCGATGATGTTGATGCTGGAATTTCATGTGCTGCAGTTTCCACCACTTCTCTCTCCGATTTTATCTCATCATTGGTCTCCTTGCTCACATCTTGCAAATCACAGTCAGCTACATTTACAACCACGTCTTTAGATCCCCGACTTGCTTCTGATGCTTCAGTTACGCTCAAGTTAATCTGATCTGCACATTCATCGTTTGCATTACCAGAATCATTGGTGTTGGACGAAACAATATTCAATTCGACATTCTCTCTTGATATCTCCATAAGTGTCTCTTCCTCGTTTTTTATTGGACACGTCTTCAAATCCAAATCCAAGAAAGTCGATGTAGGAACTTCAACTTCCAAAGTTTTCACAACTTCTCTCTCTAACTTCACCTCATCGTTAGCCTCCACACTCACATCTCGCGAGTCAGAGGCAACTACATTTTGGTCCACCACAGCTTCTGCAATCTCTCCATCTGGATCCTTCACCACTTCAACTTCAGCTTCTACCACAATTTCAGTTTCCCCAATATTATCCTCAACAGAATCAGCAAGAGAAACTTCCCCTCCGTCCCCTTGCTCAAGCGAACTCTCAAGCTTTGAGGTACTAACATTTACTACTGTAAGATCCCCATTTCTCAACTCGACATTTCCGTTTTCCCTTTCATTCAAGGGTTCACTAACTTCCGTACTAACTGTATCCAATTTCTCACTTTCAGGATCCAATTTCTCACTTTCAGGATCCAATTTTTCACTGTAAGGTTTCTCACTTTCATGATCCAATTTCGCATTCTCAGGATCCAATTTCTCATTTCCAGCATCCAATTTCTCCCCACGTTCCTCAACGGTAACAGCCTTCGATTCGGGCAGAATACTCAAACCCTCACCCCCCGCATCCTTATCACCGACAGTATCATCGGAGAGGCCATCATCACCAGACACAAAAACATAAGAATTCTCAAGATCGCTGGTCCCATTGCTATCAGGCTTGGGTAGATCCTTGCAAGAGCTCATTTCCGACAGACATTTCTCCTCAATTCCGACCACATTTGACACCTCCGTTGAAACCTCAGTTTCTGCCATGATTTTTCGCCAATGGCAGATCAGGAGCACCTACCTGTTGTTACAGCGGACAATCGATTAACATACAGATTTACAACCACATACGAATATATACGAATATTCAAAATTCTAACTAAGATTCAAATAAGTCCAATCGGAAACCAACCACGCGAGAAATAAACTGCCACAATTTCTTTCTCTTTTCCTCAAAGTATATTTTTTTCTCCTCTCAAAATTTTACGAAAGGTCTCCGTTTAGGGATTTTCACTTTTTACTTCATATTTTCTCTGTTTTCATTTTTCTTTTTTTCTTTCACCATTAGTAACAGTGAGAGAGGTAAAAGATAAGAAAACTACTATCCTCAAAGATATTTTAGTATCAGAAATTTACTAATTCTGCCCGACAATAAAGGACATAAATCTATCCTATTTAAAATAAAAAAGATATGTTCAACTAAACCTAATGCTCTGTAATTAATAGATGTCTATTAAACTTGTCTCCTTCTAACCATTCAATTAATCGACTCGATCTAGCTAATGGCATGAAAAAATGACATGTTTAATTAGAGATAACTAACAAACACCTAATTATTACTAATTAAACACGTGCAAAATGTTTCAAACTAAAATCCACCTCAATTTTTTTTTTTGTCCATTTTAATTTTCTTTTTATTGATTTTGGGGGTTATATAGAGTATATTTATTTCTTGAATCTTGATTGAGAGACACTACATATGCATAGAGCTTGTAATATAAACATAGAAATCAGTAGTTGGGATTGGGATAAGCATGAGTAATGGTGACGTAATAATCAATATATACTTGAAAATGACTCAATAGCCCCGCGAATTGGGTGGACTTTTCTGCTAATTTCTGTTCCGACTTTACAAAAAAAAAAAGGAAAAAGAAATATCTTTTAGAGGATTATGTTAGGATATACTCACTAAAAATTAAATAAATAATTTTGGATTTATAAATATTAAAATTATTATCCATCATTCAGAACAATATATTTGTACACAGTACTTGGATTTAAAAAATAAAAAATTCACGGCACGTAAGCATGGTCAAGATCCATTATTTTCCATTGTCAAATTAAATAAAATAAGCCACAAAAAAAGTCGTCCTATTTAATTAATACCATTATTATCTCTTAAAAATAGTCATATTTCCGTTATTGCCCCTCCTCTTCGTCGGGGAGAACATAAAAATACATGTGAAGACCCAAGAGACAGGGGAAATGGGCCCCATCACTTTCACGAGATTTTTCTTTCTCTTTTAAAATATAAAATATAAATATAAAACTAAAATTGAAGTTAAAAAAGGTGCTTTTTAAAAAAATAATTAATTAATTTAATTTAAATAAAAAGGTATAGAAATAGTAAACGCGTGGTTTGGATGAAATGGGCTGGTCATACCCCAATCTATTCTACCGGTTACTTAGGTCAGCCCTTTTAACGGAAAGGCCCACCCAATTAATTAATTAATTAATATTCTCCCCCACGTTTCATCACCGTCACTGAGGGCTACGCCCATCGCCGTAGACGGTGCCAAATTTAGCAGGAGGAGAAAAAATAGGATGACGAAGACGGAAGACTCACAAATTTTCACGGAATCACAAATTCCTAAATTGCCCTCTGAAATTTAGCTATGGTTACGGTTACCCCTCTTTTAGTGAGCTGGATACATGCATTTATACACACAGACTTATATATGCAAACACCTCCATTTTTGAGCAACAAAAATTGACATCGATTGTCGCTGGATGCAAGATCATTCGAAAAAAACACACAATTGAAACATTCAACTCGCAATTAAAAATCAGATCAGCCGAACGGAACAAAGAGATTTGTAGAAAGATAGATACATAAATAATTGAATTGAGATTGCATGAATCAGAGGCGCAGATAAAACAGAGAAGACATATTTAAAAAAAAAAAAAAAGGAAAGGAAATGAGTAAACTCACGAGGAAATGTACGATCCCTACGCGAGGAATCTAGATCCGATAGAGAATTTGAATCCGCAGATCAGGATCAGCAAATCGACACCGCCAATGGAGACTGAATTTTGATCTCGATTCAGTGTAATTAACGTATAATTAAATGTTTAATCTCTGTTTTTCTGCTCTCCAGAAACACACACACACATACCAGAGAGAGATGAAGAGAGAGAGAGAGATGAGAGAAGAGAGAGAGAGAGATGGTGGTGTGAATGTGTGAAATTTGTGATGGCTGTGTTTGGAGTAGGAGGTGTCCGAAACTAGATCTGTGACAGTTATATATAGACGCGGACGGATTTGCTCGCTGGCTGCCCTTTTTACTTCTTTTTTTTTTTCTTTTTTTTTTTTTTTTAAATTGTTTTTGGGAACATTCAATTCACTAATTTCACTATTTTCTTCTTTGAAGAAAGAAATAAAAAATTAAAAAATGCAATAGTACCCCTTCCCCATCATTGATTAATAATGTTATTTTCTCTATTTAGTAATGATAATTAAATAATTGGATCAAGATCTAAATGAAAAATTAAATGTTATGCTCGAGTGTTTAGAATATATGTAATGATCGATACGAGCTTTGTTAGAATATGTCGTTACAGACAAAGCTACATCAGTGTTCTCGGTTTAGTATTTATAGTAAATACTTTACGTCGATTGTCGTGTTCACCGCGTGTCTCTCGATCCGATAGATCTACAAGTTTCAATTAAGATAACAACATATCAAATTCGATTAATATTGTTATCTCTCTGTTTAGTAACGAATACATGACTAATTGGATCGAGATCTATGCTTAAGGGTTAGGAATGATCGACACGAACTTGTTAGAATGTATCGTTGCAGTAAACGACAAAGCTACATCAATCATCTGGGGTTCGTATATATAGTAAGTATTTTACGTTAATTGTCGTGTGTAGCACGTGTCTCTCGCTACGAAAGATCACTAACTCTCAATCAATATAACATAAACTCGAACCCGAGTTGCATTAATTATGTAGTTGTTACATCGAAAATTACAATTTGCATGATAGTTATTTATTCTTGGGTAAATTACAACATCATGAGGTGTGATCAAATTACGAAAATACCCCTCTTGTACGGGTAATTACAATCACCCCCTCAACTATAAATCTTCTTACACGTCCACGCTTGCGGTGTCAAATTTAGTGGAATATTCTAGATTATATGGAATATTCTCAATTTTGTACCAATTGTATCCCATTCGAACTCCACATTTTGAAGTAAGATGATCGTAAGATGTGTTTTTTGGCTTGTATATATCAGGTTGTGATGCATCAGAAACTGCACTTTTGCACAAAACGAGTACAAACTAGAGAACATTCCACATAATCTAGAAGATTATGTTGAATTTGACCCCATAAAAATGTACGTGTAAGAAGATTTATAATTAAGAGGGGGTAATTGTTATTATCCAAACATAAGAATTTTTTTTTTTTTTTTAATTTGACCATACCTCAAGGGGTGGTTGTAGTTTACCCTTTATTTTTGTTTATAGATTATTTTTTTCATTCAAGTTTAATTTTGGAAATATAGATAGTAACAAATTATATCACAAGTATCTATAAAAGTCAATGTTTTAGTTCTAGTAATAAGTATTTTACGTCGGTTGCTGTATTTAGTAAGCGATGCAACTTTAAATCCAGAAAGCAGAAAACAAAATCCGTAAAATGGTTGATACATCAAAATTTACAATTTGCATTTTAGTTATTTATTTTTGTTTTTAGATTATTTTTATCATTCTAGTTTATTTTGGTTTGATATATCCAGTCGAGATATATAAATCTAATTAATTTTAACACATTCTGAAAAATGCGAGGATCAAATTCCAAAAACAGATGGACAAAAATGTAAATGTTGCAAACTTTAGGAACCAAATTGTGAATTTTGAAATATTGACGACCCAATCGCAAATTTTGAATACTTAAATGACCCAACTAAAAATTATGAAATATAGACGGGATTGAAGATTCTGAAGGCACATGCTTTAGTGAAAAATGTTGAAAGTTTTCGGACTGAACTGTAAAATTTTCAAATTTGAGAGACTAAACTGAAAATTCTAAAAAATAGAAGGACTGTGAATTCTGAAAAAACAGGATATGCGGCAGATTTTGAATTTTAACGAGAAAACAAGATCACTTTTCTTTTTATTTGGTCAGAAATTTCATTTCCACATAACCAATTTGATGATTTTAAAGATGGATCAGCCGATGTAGTTGAAGTATGATGAGTTGAAAGAGGAAAGTGGACCCAAAGATACCTGCGATTAAAGAACAAGTAAACTAAGTCGGAGGTTGATCCGGTGGAAACCCCTCCAACGCTCGAGTCAGACGTGTGGATTACAAAAGTCGTAGAGAGAATACGAGGAGTTGTATTGTTCGAGTATTGAACGTACCTTAACAAATAAGTTAAAATCTTTATTTAAACCTCGTTGATTGGACTGGAGATAATTAATTGAGATTGCCGGACCAAACCTTATCTGAAGGTGATTGGACCTTCGTTGTAGTGATCTTCAGAGTTGGGCTCGTGGCCCAGTAAATTAAAAAATTGTAAGCCCATTGAACTGGCCCACTTAAACATATCATTACAGTTTTATGCAACATTCAAGTATATACCTCCAATGAATATGGACTTTAAATAAAATTGGCATCGTTAAACTCTTGTGAGTTAAAATCTTTAATTGAATGGATCAAATCGTAACTCCAAAATTCGCCTCAAATTCTTTTTCTTTTTTATTGGTATTCGATAAAGCTTATCAAAATGATTCATCGTAAAATGGTTAGATCCAAAACATTACTATTGATTAAGCATTTCAAGTCGCATAAATTCGAAATATTTTCTATTACATTTTTCCATTATATGTATCTTGAAAACACATATATCAATATAAAACATTTAACTTCGAAGAAAAGCAGCATCAAAAAACCAAAAAAAAAAAAAGGTAAACTAAGGGGATGGGTTGAACCATGTTGGACCGGGATCAATTCTTGTAATGCTTCGGAGATCAGTCTGATAGTAGCACGGGGAGAAAGTCTTATTTTATGATTGGTGTTTGGATTAAGTAGGTAGGGATGGGCATTCGAGATCGAGATTCCGAAACTCGTTTCGTACTGATCGGATTTTGTAAATTGACAAAGGAAATTAGGAATTTCAAATTTTTGGAATTTACCAAAATCTCAGTATTGAAAAATAAATATAATTTTGAATGATTCATATGACTACGAGTATGTTGAATACATCGTCACATTGAACAACATAAATTGTAAATTTTCTCGATTATGTACTTATAACTAGGGTTGAACATGAGTCGATTTTCCAACCGACTAACTTTTGACCCACTTTTAATGGTTGATAAACGATAATTAACCGACTCATATAGGCATACCGATAATTTTAACAGAGTGTATAAATGAGTCGGTCGGTGGTTTGCAGTTTACTCAAACGTCTTTTGGGCTGGTTGAAAGAAGTTTTGGTGCATTACACTTTTGCCCCTAAAGGCTAAAGGGACCGTTTT